CACACACACACTCTCACTCACACACACACACACACACACACTCGCCAAGAGAGGGCTGCTCCTCATAAAACCATTGACTTTCAAAGAAATGTGTGTGTGTGGTTCGCTGGTTTGGGTCACTCTAACTAGGAGCATGTGGGGCAGAGACAGCGAGGGGGGCACTGCGGTCCACTTTCATCTGTCTGTGAACACAAAGTCTCCTTCACACACACACACACACACACACACACACACACACTCTCTCTCTCGTGTATTTATTTTATCGTGGGCTGGCGATGTTGGTTTCCCAGCACTCAGAGCCCCAAAACTAACACAGTCCGACTCAGAAGTAAAACAGTCACTAATGAGTTCAGAAAGCAGCAGAAACACTTCCACGAGTGTGTTTGAACGGGTCCTCGAACACACACACGGCACGCATGTTTTCTTCTCCGGTGGCTGAGGTCGAGACCCTCATCACTCTCTGTCTAAATGGTCAACGAGCATTTCAGTGACATCACTTCCTCTCGACATCTCAGTGCAGATGTATTTCTGCTCAACCTGATTTTTCACAAAGCGCGTTCCCTCGTCTTGTTTTCGGGGGTTTGGGGGAAACGGGCAGCGCTGGTGATACTGGATCTGCTTCCTATCATCACACATGCAGATCGAGCGCCAGTGACTCACAGAAGACATGTCAACGCACACACACACACACATATGAACCAGCAACCCTCCCCATGGCCTCAAAGGCCTGTCAATCAAAAATACACACACACACACACACACACACACTCTAAATTAGGACATATCATAGGCTTCCACTGTCTTTATTTAAAGCTGAATGAAAATAAATATGAGAATGAAAATAACCCAAACCTACTGCTAAAATGTATTTGTTTTATTTATAAATCATTTTTACCTTATTTTTTGCAGGTTTTGTCAGATGTTACTCACTTCTGAGTACAGTTTGGTCCACAAACTATAGTTAAATCGTGATAGACGCTGATTGATTTTGTAATTGTTGTTCTCTGCATCAAACACACGGTACATTTTTTTTTCTATTTCAGTCTTTCTACTTCAAAATTTCACATATCATGAATGTGTTACTTGCCATTTCTGAGTGAAAATTGTTTCAACACTTAATTATTTTCAGTGCAGACAGTTTCTTTGGCCGTTGCATTGCGTATTGTGTTGTTTTTCCAGCATCTCATGCCATGAGCGCCATATTTTTAAGATGTTGTGTGAAGTGCTCACATAAAACCATAAGCAAAACACCTTTACAGCTGACAGATAATGCAACGTCTTTGCAGTGTGTGTGTGTGTGTGTGTGTGTGTGAAAGCAGAAGTAAAGGCATCGGATCAGGAAACACTGTGATCCAGGAAAAGTCTTAAGTGGAAACATGTTGATCTGGTTTTCATTTGTCTGGATGTTTGAGAGCGTGTGAAAGACAAGCCTGAAGATCTTCATATGAGCCCCATTGAGAAACCGTTTTATATTTGGTTTTTTGTTTCTCTCTCACTGACTCAGTCCTTCTCTTTTATTTAACCACATCCAGATGAATATGCAAAGACAAAAAGAATTGCTTTCATATCTCAGTTGTTTCTCCTGAGAAAGGTTCAGAAGAGATGTGCTCAGATTTGCCAAGTCTGTAGTCTAAATTCAGAGATCTCAATATCAACTCAAACATTTCTCAAAATTCATTGTTTAGCAACTATTTGTGTCTGAAAGTGTAGGAGAAACATCACTGTGAGTTGTTAAGATAAAATGACACTCGTCACACTTTGCATTAATATCATTTTATACTTTATTTTGTATTTCATACTTTATTTGACATCAGTGCACGCCGAATAGATGATGATTTCATGAAGTCACATCAGTAGTGTGACCTGCTGTCGTCGTGCTGATCTCAGACTCCTCTGGTCGTCATGGCGATGTGTTCAGCAGTCGTCACGGCGACGGTCCATCTTGAGCATCCCCGTCCAGCCTAACCAATGTGCAGACTACTGTACAAACGCTACTTCCTGAACAGGTAGTCTGAACACT